AGCAACAGCAATAATAATAATAGTAATGATAAATATTTCTGATTGACCTAACGTTTCTTCAATTAATTTCCAGGGTTTCAATTATCCACCGGAGGCGGGTTACGCTTTGGACCCGCACGCGGGTCCACGGTACTACATGCTTGAGACCCACTACGCGAACCCTCAGATAGACAGCGACAGTTCCGGGCTGCGTCTGCATTACACGGACCGGTTGCGTACCCACGACGCCGGCGTCCTCAGCGTCGGGATCGACCCTAACTGGCGTCACATCATCCCCCCGCGTCAGCCGGAGGTCGTGTCCGAAGGACACTGCATCTCGGAGTGCACGGGACGCACCGTGCCGAACAGCGGCATCAACATATTCGCCGTCATCATGCATACCCATCAGCTGGGCAGGAAGGTCCGATTGCGTCAGATAAGGTCCGGCGAGGAGCTGCCACCCATCGCGTCCGACACCAATTACGACCCCACCTATCAGGAGTATCGGAAGCTGCAAAAGCCCGTCAGGCTCTATCCGGTACGTATCAACCCTGACCGTTCCCTCCCCCGTTTCCGACGCACACCTCTGTCTCTCCACAATGGAATGCATCGGGACCGCAATCCTTTTATTCTGATTTAAACGATGATACCATGAATCGAAATTGGTCCGATCGAGGACCTCTCACGTGTCCATGTCCAACTTGAAACGATACACAATAAGGAATAAAAATACTAACACAATTCGACTAGGCCTTTAATCACCCAACCTATCCTAATGATAGTTTAAAATTGTGAACAGGTTAATAACTGTGCTGTTGTCCGTTTTTGTTCCAGGGTGACCATTTGGTGGCGGAGTGCACCTATTCGTCTAAATCCAGACAAGCAATCACGCTGGGTGGACTAACGATGAAAGAGGAGACATGCCTAGTGTCAGCGCTCTATTACCCACGGATCGAGATGTCGCTCTGCTACTCGCTGCCGTCGGTGCCGACAGTGCTACACAGCCTGGGGATCGAACTACTCATGCAGTGAGTAAATACGTACATATACATATATGTCTGTTTCGGTGTGATATGTTCTTTTTTTTTTTTCGGTTTCAAAGGCCGTTATTAATTTACGTACACGGGACGGTTGATACCGGGACGGTTAATGATCGCGACGGGTCACAAAGCGGCGGAGGCAGACGTTCGCTCCTTTTACTCTGATTACTTTAAATTGGCAATTAGGGACGGGCGATGTCCCGTGCGTCACGACCGCACGACCTGTCGTTAGCCATAGGTCCCTTCCTCGGTCGCATCGCGCCAGACGCATCATCGTTCATCGTATTACGTAACGTTACGTGTGTCACGAAGACGCTTCCTGCGACGTGTCACGAACTTTAATGCAACAACTCATCCTGTTTGGCTAGACACACACCTGTGTGCCAAGAGTGTATTCAGTGGACGTAGCTAAATTGCTGTTATTACTAGTACTAATATCGGCAGGTCGTTCCTAATTGGCTCGTTAGAGTCACTCCGGTAGAGATCATTGTCATCTTCGCGTGACGTCGCTGTCAAATGGTTACGACGACCCTCAGGTCAACGTACCTATTTTAATAGGTCGAGAACTGTTATTATAATTAATACTAAACGATTGTTCCTTTTTTTATAAATCGACAAAAATGATAATTGTGCTAAAAGGCACCTTTTAGAGCTGAATAACTTTGAAGAATTATAGTTAAGGAACCTAGAAAAATGTCCTTTTCTCATTGCAGAGGTCCCGGGCCAGTGAAGATCCAGGACCCAGCAGAACTGCGGGGCATGTCACTGGAGAATCGTTTACTGAGCGTCGACTGGGAGTCCAGCTTCCAAAGCTTCCAACAAGCAACCAGAGAAGGCACCTTCAAGCCGCTTTGTTGGACGAGCAAAGGAGCCCTGCCAGACACGGACGACCTAGAAGTCCACTACCCGAGGATCCTCAGGCCGTACGAAGAAGTGAGCCCACCTTGCCTGAAGAAATCATTCAGAAACAAGGTGTCGAGGCTCAGCGAAGACGAGGACATCGGTGCGCCCATGGATCCGGACAGCGACGAGACGAACGCGGTTGAACGCGGACAGCTGGTCCGCAGCAAAGTGTCACGCAGTAGCGACGGTCCGACTGGAAGTTCCTCGACGAAATCAGCACCGCTGGTACTGATCCTGGCCGCAGTACTCGCGGCGGTGTCCGGCGTCCGGTTCAGGTGAACGCTGGCTACCCGAGCCGATCGATCACGAAGTAACCAATCTAGGACGACCGTTTCATCCTGTTGTGGATCGCGCTGGATCGGGGGAGGAGGTGAGTACGTGCCGGTGCGCGTATACCCTCTGACGCGTCACTTAGGCTAAATAACTATTGTCGTTGATTGGTCGTTGAGTGAGGACCCGAGTGGTTCGTTTCCGCGTGCATCGGCGACCATGCGTCCCAGTTTCGAGATCGTTGCACAATTTTTCATACGCTGTAATAATGAGCCGACGCCGCGGGGACGAGCGGCTGGGAGAGAGACAGATATTTTTCACGGCTACGCTGTTTCACGTGGAACGTACGGTCTAGATTGCCAAATATATTTTACTCGAACGAGTCCATCCTGGGGTGAACGATCTTCAACAGGATCGGGATATACTTTGTCCTCATTCAAGGGCCGACCTCCCTTTTCGCGATCTCTCCTGCACAGAGTATACAAACTGGTCCAGCTGAATGTTGTTATTATTATAATTCACACCCATTTAAATATAAAATCCAGACAAGCAATCACGCTGGGTGGACTAACGATGAAAGAGGAGACATGCCTAGTGTCAGCGCTCTATTACCCACGGATCGAGATGTCGCTCTGCTACTCGCTGCCGTCGGTGCCGACAGTGCTACACAGCCTGGGGATCGAACTACTCATGCAGTGAGTAAATACGTACATATACATATATGTCTGTTTCGGTGTGATATGTTCTTTTTTTTTTTTCGGTTTCAAAGGCCGTTATTAATTTACGTACACGGGACGGTTGATACCGGGACGGTTAATGATCGCGACGGGTCACAAAGCGGCGGAGGCAGACGTTCGCTCCTTTTACTCTGATTACTTTAAATTGGCAATTAGGGACGGGCGATGTCCCGTGCGTCACGACCGCACGACCTGTCGTTAGCCATAGGTCCCTTCCTCGGTCGCATCGCGCCAGACGCATCATCGTTCATCGTATTACGTAACGTTACGTGTGTCACGAAGACGCTTCCTGCGACGTGTCACGAACTTTAATGCAACAACTCATCCTGTTTGGCTAGACACACACCTGTGTGCCAAGAGTGTATTCAGTGGACGTAGCTAAATTGCTGTTATTACTAGTACTAATATCGGCAGGTCGTTCCTAATTGGCTCGTTAGAGTCACTCCGGTAGAGATCATTGTCATCTTCGCGTGACGTCGCTGTCAAATGGTTACGACGACCCTCAGGTCAACGTACCTATTTTAATAGGTCGAGGACTATTATAATTAATAATACTGAACGATTGCTGCTTTTTTATAAATCGACAAAAATGATAATTGTGCTAAAAGGCACCTTTTAGAGCTGAATAACTTTGAAGAATTATAGTTAAGGAACCTAGAAAAATGTCCTTTTCTCATTGCAGAGGTCCCGGGCCAGTGAAGATCCAGGACCCAGCAGAACTGCGGGGCATGTCACTGGAGAATCGTTTACTGAGCGTCGACTGGGAGTCCAGCTTCCAAAGCTTCCAACAAGCAACCAGAGAAGGCACCTTCAAGCCGCTTTGTTGGACGAGCAAAGGAGCCCTGCCAGACACGGACGACCTAGAAGTCCACTACCCGAGGATCCTCAGGCCGTACGAAGAAGTGAGCCCACCTTGCCTGAAGAAATCATTCAGAAACAAGGTGTCGAGGCTCAGCGAAGACGAGGACATCGGTGCGCCCATGGATCCGGACAGCGACGAGACGAACGCGGTTGAACGCGGACAGCTGGTCCGCAGCAAAGTGTCACGCAGTAGCGACGGTCCGACTGGAAGTTCCTCGACGAAATCAGCACCGCTGGTACTGATCCTGGCCGCAGTACTCGCGGCGGTGTCCGGCGTCCGGTTCAGGTGAACGCTGGCTACCCGAGCCGATCGATCACGAAGTAACCAATCTAGGACGACCGTTTCATCCTGTTGTGGATCGCGCTGGATCGGGGGAGGAGGTGAGTACGTGCCGGTGCGCGTATACCCTCTGACGCGTCACTTAGGCTAAATAACTATTGTCGTTGATTGGTCGTTGAGTGAGGACCCGAGTGGTTCGTTTCCGCGTGCATCGGCGACCATGCGTCCCAGTTTCGAGATCGTTGCACAATTTTTCATACGCTGTAATAATGAGCCGACGCCGCGGGGACGAGCGGCTGGGAGAGAGACAGATATTTTTCACGGCTACGCTGTTTCACGTGGAACGTACGGTCTAGATTGCCAAATATATTTTACTCGAACGAGTCCATCCTGGGGTGAACGATCTTCAACAGGATCGGGATATACTTTGTCCTCATTCAAGGGCCGACCTCCCTTTTCGCGATCTCTCCTGCACAGAGTATACAAACTGGTCCAGCTGAATGTTGTTATTATTATAATTCACACCCATTTAAATATGTACTGCATTTCAACAAATTTAGTTAAAGGCGTTTGGGCATGCTGGGCCCCGTACGCGGTACGGCCCTGACCGGGAGCACAAGTGGGGATGCGTTGAGTCGTATGAGCGTATCGTAGTCCGCGTTACTGCGACTACTGAGCGAGGTGGGGATAGCTGTTAGAGTAGGGACTGAGTTGGCCATGCCTGTGCCTAGACCATCACAGGCCCCACACTTTACTGAGAGGGGCTATGACTATGAATGCAAGAGATATTTAAATGGCTACACTAGGATGGACCAGCTTGTGTATTGTTAGTATAAAATCCGTACTAGGACCTCTCTATCGCTCTCTCCATTTTACATGTTCTAGAGTAATTTTAATGACGTGCATATTGGCTTGATAAATAAATTCATTTGATGTAATTAAATCATGGAGATCCTGCATTTGACATAACCCATACGAACGTAGAAAATTAATTGAACTTAACATCGTTGAAAGCTCTAAACAATTTTCTATGCACGAGTTAAATCGACCAATCTAGACTATATAAACTGTCCCAGTTTCCCTCGAGCAACTTTATGGGTGTGAATAATAAAAGTGATTGGACGAAATAAATGATAATAAAATATGAGGATCGATTTATTTTTGTTATGATCATAAAATTTGACTGCCCAGTAAGACAGGATTTCTAGTCGGTTTGTCGGAGCAACGAAGCGGCTCGAGCCTGGGCTTTCGAGTTTTTCCCTGCCTCGTCGTTAGGTGGCGCGAGGGAACGAGAGGGCTGGTCCTGTATCGGTGAATAAGATTATTTTTCATGCTTCTGGACTCGAAAGAATTTATATTGTTGGCTGTTCAGTTTTCGCGCCGGGAACCAACCGAATCGACCCCCACGCGGTTTTCTTAAATAAGCGTTTTCAACGACGCTATTCGAATTATTATTGAATCGTTTGGTTCTCGCCGGGGCTTGTATATTCTGTTATCATTAGATATCTATACGTGCGTAGATATGTTTATTAATGAAGACGATTATAATATAAACGTTGGTCGATTCGCACAGAAATTAATAGCCTGCAGATT